TATGACGGCATGAGTGGTCGTCTTAAATAAAAGACACGTTCTTAAACAAAAACATATATATTGAAGATTAAATTAACATAAGGACGGACGATTAACAATCACACGAGTAACAAAAAATAATAATAAGAGTTCGTCTTTTAATGTTTGGTATAATCATAACTCCTCTTTGGAGTCCATACGTCTTTTTCGGTTCGTTGTCAACCCCGCTCTCTCGTCTTAGGGAAATTCCCATTGCTTCCTAGTCGTGCACAGGGATCAGCTTCCAGCTTACATTGACTGGCGGGACTTCTAGCTAAAGGCGACTTCTAGCTGTCGGATCTGAGAACTGGGATCAGCTTTGTATACAACAGTATCTCCAATGGTATTGTTACTTTGTTACTGATTTCTTCACTAGTCGAAATAGTGTCGCGACGACGGGTTCGGCGTTTGAATGGACTTTTTATTAAGACAAAACAGAACAGATTTACCGATGAGCTCCGAAAGACAAGCGGCAGATATAACTCTTAGTCCAGGGATGGCGGACCAATGGCACGCGTGCCATTTATGGCACCCGACACAATATTTAAGGCACGCCACCGATCACATTTGTTATTACACAAATGGTATTACACTATGAAGCATATGTAACAATTAAATTAAAATTCATAAAAAACACACAAAATAATAATTCTCACAATTAATGCTAAAAAAACAATAACCATAAAAAATAAGCTAACAATAATTAACTAGCAAAAAAATTAACAGTCCTGCTTAAACTAGCATCTTACAACCTAATATAAGTTATTTGTCATCTAATCTGCAACAACAGAAGTCACTCTGATGTTACTTTAAGTTGAATTACGCGTATAACTGAGACATTGCAAAATGTTTTTTTTTTCAATGTAAATAAAGAGTTTTGAGTTGATAGTATTTAGTATTATTCTTTTCCCAATAATCACGAAGTCAAAATTATTTGACGGCACGTCTATGACCTCAAACAATTTTTTAGAAAGAATGGCACGTTGGTGTATAAAGGTTCGCCACCCCTGTCTTAGTCTGACTGCCTAACTCCAATGTACTCCGTTTCTCCTTTTATATAATTTTTCACCGTATCTCCAAAATTCTGGAATTGTCTCAAAGACGACAGAATGTTTAGGATTCCAGGATCATCGCGTAAAGACCTCGCGAATGCCAGCCAGTCTCGAAAACTATCGTGACTGGCAGGGCAGAAAGGAACCAGCGATCGGGGCTCGCCCGTAACCGTATCACTTGAATTTGGTTTCAAAAGTACACCGTATTACAGCAAATGTTTTTTCAGTATTCTGAGAAATACCGTGAGAAAAAAAAGTAGGCATGAGGCAAGTAAAAATATATAGTCTTGAAAAATAATTGCCAGCATAATTTCTACTAAAATTTTTATTTTTGCTTTTTTGTCTGAGCTCAAGGGAGGTGCTTAAACACCTAAACCCTCCTTGCGTAGGCCCCTGTTCTAGAAAATCTTTTGAGAAATTCAAAAAAGGAAAAAAAAGAAAGGAGTCAAAAACTGAAATTGTATTATCGATTATTTCATGGTTGTGTAGATTTAAATTTTTTAGTTTTATTTCATAGGCGTTTTATCTGCAATAAAATGCTAAGTGCTTCGATGTTCCATCTAAATTTTAGAGACATGCAAAAAAATTTTTTTTCTTAAACACCACTCATCGCTAGCTTTAAAATTTTTGTCAAGGAATAAATATTTGAGGAAGTGATAGAAATTCATAAAAGATTATCCTAATTCATCACAGTAGAATTAAATAATTAAAATACAATTTCATTATTCAAGTAAAAAGTGGTACATTATTCATTATTCAAGTAAAAAGAATCGAACCAAAAGCGAACAATTTTGAAATGCGTTAAAAAGGAATTACTTTTAAATATTTTTATGGTACATTTACTGTAATCGAAGATTAGTCAATCTTTAATAATTTTCTTTTTCAAAATGTCACTTTAAGACTATCTATGTTTAGTTTTTCTACATTGTCAAAAATTCTAAAAATAATTGTCGATATCGCAATTACGAAACAACCTAGGTACAATTAAATTTCGTAATAAATTAATATTAAAAATTGAGTGATGAAAAGGATGCTGTTCTTCGTACAGCTTAGTTCCCAGTATGTCCCAATAATATGCTAATTTCGCTGTAAATGATCAATAAATAAATTTTAATAATAAACACATTAAAAAAATATCTAAAGAAATTCCATATTTAATTTACTTTATGTTTTATTAAATGATGTTAGCAAAGTTGATTAAAAATATTTCAAAATAACTCTAAAATATGACTTTTTTAATTACAATAAAATTTTTTTAAAAATAAGTACACTGAAAAATAAGATGTCTTTAGAAATTCCGAATTTAATCTACTTCTTGTTTTGCAAAATCGTAACATTTTGTAAATAATAAATAATGTTTTTAATAGTCACTCTAAAATTCTGTGAAAAAGTTCTTTATTTTATGTTTTATAAAATGGTGTGTACAAAAATATTTTGAAATTATTCCAAAATATGACGAAATATCGCCAATGAGAGCTAAACTCATCACGACTATCAACTCCAATGGAAAAAAAGATTATGTCAAGTACGATGAATTAGTTTACTCCCAAACCTGTGACTGTAGAGTGGAAGGGGAGGGGGGAACTTCTACTCATGAACCAATCTGC